CAAAACGACCTTGACAGATTAGAGAACTGGACCAAAACAAACAAGATAAACTTTAACGGGGAGAAATGTAAAGTATTGCACTTGGGCAAAAAAAATGAGAGGCGCAAATACAAGATGGGTGACACCTGGCTTGAGAGCAGTACATGTGAAAAGGATTTAGGAGTCTTGGTTGACCACAAACTTGACATGAGCCAACAGTGTGACGCGGCAGCTAAAAAAGCCAATGCAATTCTGGGCTGCATCAGTAGGAGTATAGCATCTAGATCAAGGGAAGTAATAGTGCCACTGTATTCTGCTCTGGTCAGACCTCACCTGGAGTACTGTGTCCAGTTCTGGGCACCACAGTTCAAGAAGGACACTGACAAACTGGAACGTGTCCAGAGGAGGGCAACCAAAATGGTCAAAGGCCTGGAAATGATGCCTTATGAGGAACGGCTAAGGAACGGCATGTTTAGCCTGGAGAAGAGGAGGTTAAGGGGTGATATGATAGCCATGTTCAAATATATAAAAGGATGTCATATAGAGGAGGGAGAAAGGTTGTTTTCTGCTACTCCAGAGAAGCGGACACGGAGCAATGGATCCAAACTACAAGAAAGAAGATTCCACCTAAACATTAGGAAGAACTTCCTGACAGTAAGAGCTGTTCAACAGTGGAATTTGCTGCCAAGGAGTGTGGTGGAGTCTCCTTCTTTGGAGGTCTTTAAGCAGAGGCTTGACAACCATATGTCAGGAGTGCTCTGATGGTGTTTCCTGCTTGGCAGGGGGTTGGACTCGATGGCCCTTGTGGTCTATTCCAACTCTATGATTCTATGATTCTATTCTATGATTCTATGAATCCCCACAACGGGGTGAGCTCCCGTTGCTCGGTCCCTGCTCCTGCCAACCTAGCAGTTTGAAAGCACGTCAAAGTGCAAGTAGATAAGTAAGTACCACTCCAGAGGAAAGGTAAACAGCGTTTCCGTGCGCTGCTCTGGTTCTCCAGAAGCGGCTTGGTCATGCTGGCCACATGACCTGGAAGCTGTCTGCGGACAAACGCCAGCTCCCTTGGCCTATAGAGCGAGATGAGCACCGCAACCCAGAGTCGGTCATGACTGGACCTAATGGTCAGGGGTCCCTTTACCTTTACCTTAAAGGAAGATAATAATAATAATAATAATAATTTTTATTTATACCCCACCCTCCCCAGCCAAGGCCAGGCTCAGAGCAGCTTACAAGCAATAATAAAAACAAGTTGAATGATTACAACTTAAAAACAAAATTAAAATACAACATTAAAATATTGAAACATTAAAATATTAAAATGTAGCCTCATCGCAGGAGGAGAAGGAAAGGAAAAAAGAAAGAGAGGGAGGGAATCAAATTGGCTCCAAGCCAAAGGCCAGGCGGAACAACTCTGTCTTACAGGCCCTGCAGAAAGAAATCAGATCCTGCAGGGCCCTGGTCTCATGAGGCAGAGCGTTCCACCAGGCCGGAGCCAGAGTTGAAAAGGCCCTGGCTCTAGTTGAAGCCAATCTAACTTCCTTAGGGCCTGGGACCACTAGGGTGTTGCTATTTATGGACCTTGAGGCTCTCCGTGGGTCATACCGGGAGAGGCTGTCCCATAGGTACGAAGGTCCTAGGTCGTGAAGGGCTTTAAAGGTCAAAAGCAGCACCTTAAATCTGACCCTGTACTCTACCGGGAGCCAGTGCAGTTTGAAAAGCACTGGGTGAATATGCTCCCATGGCAGAGACCCCGTGAGGAGCCTCGCTGCAGCATTCGGCACCCTCTGGAGTTTCTGGGTCAGCTTCAAGGGCAGCCCCGCGTAGAGCGAATTACAGTAGTCAAGCCTGGAGATGACCGTCGCATGGATCACTGTGGCCAGGTTGGGGCGGGAAAGGTAAGGGACCAACTGCTTGATGCGGCGAAGGTGGACAAATGTCGCCTTGGCTGTTGCTGTAATTTGCGCCTCCATGGAAAGGGAGGCGTCAAGGATTATACCCAAACTCTTAACGGAAGGCAATGGCACTAATTGGGCCCCGCAAGAGAAGGGAGTTGGTCCCTCATCCCCATGCCATCCCGACCCAGCCATAGGACCTCTGTCTTCGAAGGATTTAGTTTCAATTGGCTCCCATGAAACCATCCAGCCACAGCTTCCAAGCATCTGGTCAGTGTGTTCAGGGCCGAGTCGGTGTGGCCATCCATCAGCAGATAGAGCTGAGTGTCATCAGCATATTGGTGACAGCCCAACCCAAAGCTCCGGATAATCTGGGCAAGGGGGCGCATAAAGATGTTAAAAAGCATCGGGGAGAAGCAGGCTTGCTCAAAGTTTCTTCCTGGCCACAAAAGAGTGCAGAGGAAAACAGGCAGAAGCCCAACCAGAATCCATGTGGTTTAAAGAGTTATTCACTGTACAATGGACCGCATCAGTTGTAGGGGTGGAAGGTCCTCTAAAGCTCATCCAGTTCAGCCCCCTACAACACAGGAACCATAACCAGACTCTGCATGAGTTTAGGATTTCCAGCTGTCTCTTATTCACTGTCATTGCTAATGGCAGTCCTGGGAATGACAGAGGCTTGCCCAAGGACCTTAACGGTAAATGGCATGAAGCTACAGCAACACCACTCTGCAGAACCTGTCTTGCTTCTCTTGCTGGGGTTTGAGATGGAGTGGAGGCTGAAGCTCTATGATGGGGCTGGTTCTTCCCTACCCATGCTGAGTGCATAGTCTCTCACTGACGGGGTTGGACTAGATGAGCCTGGGGAGTCCCTTCCATTTCTACAATCCTATGATGCTTAACAGAGGGCCAGTAATGGAAGATTGCCCAAATGGTACTTCTACAAGCAGGGATTGAATATTTATAAGGCTTCAAGAGAGCCTAAGGTAACACTGGGGAAAGAAAAAGCAAAACCGAATGTCTTTCTGCTTGTTGGGGGGGGGATTGTGTGTGTATGTGTGTCTCACAAACTGGAATGCACCTGCATTCTTCTAGGGATGGTGGCATTAATTTTTCTCTGTAGTGCTCATTAGGGACCCTTCCCAGCTGATACTGTCTGCAGAACCTGAAACCGTGTGCTCTGTTCTTGGAGGCAAGCCTGCTTTTGTCTTTCTTCATGATCATAATGGACATTTGCATGAGAAAAGGATCCGAAGCAAGGACAATGAAGGGTATTTGTTTCACCTGCGGCTCTGGCACTACTAAGCACCCACATGGGTGATTGACAACCACCATAGCAACCAGCCTCAGAAGGCCTCATCAATGCCATTTCCTAAGAGGTCAATCAACAGGGGGGGAGGCCCCTATTACTATGTTTTTCACTGAGACTAGATACACTAGCAACACTGGATGGCTCCATGGCAATGTTTTGTATATCAGAGTTTATAGTCCTGAAGCACAAAGTTGCATTCGTTATTCCAGGTTCCATAGAATCATAGAACAGTTGGGTTGGAAGGGATCCAAGGGTCATCTAGTCCAACCCCCACCCATGCAGGCTTTTTTTTAAAAAAAAATCTTCTATCTCTATAAGCGTGGTCTCATCATTTTCTCTCCAGCCCCCAATTCTGCTTCACTTACAAGGACCAGATACAGACCATTCTTCAGGTGCTTTAGCCTCATGTATGCCTTAAACATTTAGCGGGGGAAACTTGAATGTTTCACTTTTTAAACACAAAACCTTTCATGAAATTGCTGAGCCAGCATAACATCCAGATGGGAGCTAGTTTCAATTCTGCAATGCCAAGGTGACTCCCACTTTTTTTTTTGCATTGCAGATGACACCATCTCTGCTGCAAGATGGTCATCATTGAATCATAGAATTGGAGAGTTGGAAGGGATTAGGTAAAGGGACCCCTGTCCATTAGGTCCAGTCGTGGCTGACTCTGGGGTTGCGGCGCTCATCTTGCTTTATGGCCGAGGGAGCCGGCGTACAGCTTCCGGGTCATGTGGTCAGCATGACTAAGCCGCTTCTAGCGAACCAGAGCAGCGCACGGAAACACCGTTTACCTTCCCGCCGGAACGGTACCTATTTATCTACTTGCACTTTGATGTGCTTTCGAACTGCTAGGTTGGCCGGAGTAGGGACTGAGCAACGGGAGCTCACCCCGTCGCGGGGATTCAAACCACCAACCTTCTGATCGGCAAGTCCTAGGCTCTGTGGTTTAACCCACAGCGCCACCCGCATCCCTGGAAGGGATTACCAAGAGGCATTTAGAACCACATGTGTCACCTTGAGGTCCTTGGAGGAAAAGGTGAGCTATAAATGTAAATAATAAAAATAAACATTTTAATCTCTTTTAGTATTTTAACTTATGTCCATTTTAAATTATGGGTGTGAATCTTTCTCAATTTTATTGTTTTATCGTTTTGTAAACTGCTTTGAGGTTTTTCGCAATCAAGAGGTACGTAAATTTTACGAAATAAATAAACAATAAATAATATTATTGTTTTGCTGTTTTATTTGTATCTCTTCCCTTAATCTGGACACTAGACTTCCATTGCTTCAGCCTATCCTATAAAAATTTGCTGCATGCTTTGAGATGGATGTTTTTTCATTGGGAAGACCCAGAAAATTGCCCACTCTGGTTGTTTCCATAATTGGGAGTCTCACCATTTCCTTCCCATTGCCTGCTCAATGCACTCTAGCATGGTCCCAGAGAGATTGCCTTCCAACTGTTTTCCATGCAGAACTGTTTTTAATATGCCAATGATGGTATCTAATATGCAAAATTATTGTAACTCTGTTTTTAAAGATGCATTTTAGATTTCCCAGAACAGTGATGAGAATGTGAGCGAGATGCAAATGAAACATTAAAACCATGGGAGCCCCGGAATGTAATGCAGCCAGTGAGCAGACCTCAGGAATTGGACGGGCATCTGGCCGACCTTTGCCTGGATTTGTTGCAAAAGGAGTTGCCACATTATTAGCTCAGAATGCAAATCCCGTTAGATCTGGGTGGTCCAACATATGGCCCGCGGGCGGCATGCAGTCCTTGAGACCTCCCCCCCCCCTTTTTTTGGCGGCCCTAGCTAAGTACCAAAGGAGCGTCGCTAGTGGCAGCAGGAGTCCCAACGTCCAGGATCACCCCCTCCCTAGTTAACGACTGCCAGAAACAGAAGCAGCAACAAATCGTTGAGCTTCGACGTCCCCGCCTCCCCACTTTTCCAGCCGCCGGCGCGCCAGGTGATTGGACAGCAGCCAGACTCTGGTAAGCAGGGGTTCCTCCTGATCAGTAATGGTCCTAAGCTGCACGCCCCCCCCCCTCAGGCTGTGACTCCTGCTACTGCAGCTGCCCCTCTGCTCTTCCAGACCATGGCAGGGGGTTGAGAGCGGGAGGCAAAAGCCCAGCGGCTGTGACTGAGCTGCTCCGTGATGCAGGGCAGGGCTGAGTCCGGGCAGCTCCACCGCCATGGCTTCATTGCCCGGCTTGCCTCGGCCCCTTCCCCCGGGGGCTTGGCCCTCCCAGCCTCCTGCTTCTCCCAGCCCAGGGCGTTGAACCAGCAGCCCCAGAATCTGCTGCGGCTGCCTTCTCCTAGGCCTTCTTTTGCCTTCCGGGGGTTGTTGCGGAGCTCGCACTCCCCACCCAGGGATGCTACCCCTGCCTTCCAACCTTGTACTTAGAAAAGAGGCCTGCAGGTGCCAGGACAGTATCCGAGCACTGCCGGGCGGGGGGGGGGCACTAGGGAGCGGTCAATGGCAAGCGAGGGGAGCTGGCTCTGCCTCCTGGGCTGGTGGAGAGTGGGTTGAGCGGGTAGGGACCCAGTTGTGGGGTCATCCTGGTGCTGTGATAAGGGGCACATGATGCTGGAGTCCCTGTCGCCCTGAGCTCAGCACTTTCTCCCTCTATAAGTGTGTGTGTATGTGTTTTACAGCTGGCACGCTGTGCACTGCTGCATAGTGCTGATAAAGCCATGTTTGCAGGTTCAATCCCTGAATGGGACAGCTGCATATTCCTGCATTGCAAGGGGCTGGACTTGATGATCCTCAGGGTCTCTTCCAGCTCTTCAATTCTATGATTCTGTCTGCAGAATTATTATTATTATGGAACACATTTTGGGCAGGCACACATCATTTTCCATGTATTGTTTACACAGTACATTTCTTACTGTGGCTGATACTTCTTGCACTCGATTATATGTAACACTCAGGCCCAGATGAGACAGTTTATCTATATATATATTTCTTTAATGACAGTGTGAATCATGAGACCTCTATACAGTGGGAGGGATGTTTCTGTCTCTGAAACGTGAAGTACACTCTGAGCATTTTCTTTTCTTTCATGTTTGATGCTGTTAAATCAAATGCGGGGGCAGGGGCGGATAAAGGTTTTATGGTCATATCTGCAGTGGAGAGGGGACTAGATGCCCTTTGGGTCCCTTCCAGCTCTACAATTCCATGTTTCTGTGGTTCTATGATTGGGGTGGGGGTAATCCCGATGTATATTTTGCTCCAGGAGGCTAAAATTGGTCAGAATTGAGCATACACTTTCAGAGTTAATACTAAATACATTACTTCTCATAAATGAGCCACCATAGCTGCTAGAAGTCTGTGAAAATTTGTGTTCCGGCCTTTTTAGACCCATGTACTATCTAAAACCAAAGGGGCACATTGGTTTCTAGATGTGATTTTTTCCCCCCAGCTCTCCCACCCCATTAAAGAAACCTTTATTATTATTATTATTATTATTATTATTATTATTATTATTATTATTATTTTAGACCTCTCTTACAATCCTGAACTATTTCTGAGCTTGGCCCTGCATGACCTTCAGCATGCAACTGTTGGTTCCTGGTGTATACTCTTCCTTCTTGATTTCACTTTTCTTCCATTTCTTATACATGGCCTTCTTAAATCTCAGCTCATCAGCTCATCTGTAAGATCCTTTTGCAGCCACACTGGTTTCTTCAGATTAAGGCCAAGCAATTTACCAATACATTATCTTAAATGGGTTTGAAGTTCAGATTGTGGTAATGGTTTCAGAATTTTTGAGCTGGCAGTATTTTGTGAATCCCCAGCTACCACCAGCCCAGCACATGTTACTCCCGGGTGACACTTGCGCCCTGCAAGGCCTTCCAATGCTTGCCCATTCCCTCCCTCCCTCCACAGGTCTTGTGGGAAATTCTTCCTAGCCAGCCCCTTAATCTCCAGTTGAATCCTAGAATACATGACAGTCCCGGAATGCTAAAATACTGTAGAATTTTAGACTGCTTTCATTTCATTGTTCATGAGAAGCCTTTTCCTCCTTTGTTGAGTCTCCCTTCTTGCCTGCTACAATTTTATTCAAATGCAACAGCAGGGCAGAAGGCAGCTGAACAAAAGGCCCTTTTCATTTTTTTAACAGGTCTTCAGATCTTTGTACTCCCCAGAGTTGTATTTAATAGGTTAATTTTTCAAGCTGCTTGAGTGTGTGTGTGTGTGTGTGTGTGTGTAAGGGGGAGTTTGTATATTGCAAACATGTCCTGCAGAAACACAATCACAATAGAATCATATAACTGTGGAGTCAGAACGAACCACGAAGGGTCATTTGCTACAGCCTCCTGCACTGCAGGAATCAGAGCTAAAGGACTCCCTGGCCACCCAACCTCTCTTTAAAAAACTTCAAGGAAGGAGATTCCAACAGCTTCCCAGGGAGTCTGTCCCACTGCAAACAACTCTTAGTGTCAGAAAGTTCTTCCTGATGTTTAGTTGGAACCTGCTTTCTTGTAACTTGAAGTTCAGGTCCTATCCTCCGGAGCAAGAGAAAACAAACTTGCTCCATCTTCCATGGGATAGCTCTTTATATATCTGAAGACAGCTATCGTATCTCCTCTCAGTCTCATCTTCTCCTGGCTAAACATGCCCAGCTCCCTCAGCCATTCCTCACAAGGCTTGGTTTTCCAACCCCTAGTCCCCTGGACACAAGACTCCAGGTGGGGTCTGACCAAGGCAGAATAGAGTGGTACTGTCACTTCTCTTGATCTAGACATTTGGCTTCTCTTGATGCAGCCTAGAATTGCATTAGCTGTTTTTGCTGCTGCATCATACTGTCAACATATGTTAAGCTTGTGGGCTCCTAAGACCCCTCAATCCTTTTTGCATGGACTTCCGTCAAACCACATGCCCTCCCCCCAATTCTATATTTCTGTATCTAGTTATTATTCCTGCCTAAGCAGGAACCTTTCATTCATCCCTATTGAAATTAATTTTCTTAGTTTTGATTCTGCTTGTGAATATTTGCTTCCTGGAACCATCCTCTTCCAAGTTTTTGGAAGCACAAGCACACACGCCTGGACCCTTAATCTCTCCCGTCAAAATATTCACTCCCCTTGCCCCTTAACTCTTCTCCAAAGCCATCGTCTTTACTTGCCATCTATAATTCAATGACATCCTTCTTTCAATTATCTTTCAGGCTCTTAAAGTCCTGAAATTAGCACCCCTCTCAATTTTGTGGGAGATTGCATAACTGTGCATGACTGCATGAAATGGTTAAGGACCACAGAGTTTTATTGCTAGACAGACTCAGGTCATGCTCCCAAGGAAGTGAAGCTTTTCAAATTCCTCTTTCTCTGCATCATGTAATGAAGGACATGCGTAAGCTTGCTCTTGAGTTTACAGCATGTGTTTGGAATTATATACAGTACTTTCTACCAGAAATATTCTGCCTGTGTTTCTCTTTGCAGCTGCACGGAACAACACATTTATCAAACCTATGAATCTGTAAGTAAAGCATTTCTAACTTACTTTGCAGTGTGTGGTCTGTTCCTTGCAAATGGGGTAGAAAGAAAGGTGCATGGTAAATGGGATAAGAAAGATTTGACAACCTATATTCACTGTGCTGCTTATTTTTGTGAGTTTAATACTCTGCTACTGGAACGCTCTGTGTACAAGTCCTGCATTTCGAATCCAGACACCCAGCAAATTCTTTTGTTGTTCACCCACACACATGGGTCCACAGGGATTCATATATTTTTCCTCCCACAGTCTTCAGGTAGAAAACGATCTTCCACTAATACTGCATATGGAACCTGGTTCTCCCCCCAAAAAAGAATACACACACACACACACATATATATATACACACACACAGGCAGCACCTGTTTGTCATGATAGACGACTTCCATGTGGGCCTGGGCACAGAGTGTCACATTCCCCCGGGGCGTGCAAATTTGTTAAGAGGGGGTCACTGCAGAGGAAGGGGGTCAGTTAATGGACGATATCAGTTTCTCTCTGCTAATGAAGATAGCACTCTCTCGGAAGCTGGACATGTGGAGGAGGGTGAGACGTCAATGGAATTTGATACCAGGAGAGAATAAATGGGCAGATTGAGGCAACAGCCTCGGCACTCAGATGTTATTATACAATTCATTAATAGAACACTTTTAACTTATCATGTGAATAGAGCTCTGGAATGAAAGGGGGATTTGTTTGCGAATGTTTGTATTTAGATTCTAATTTCTAATTCAGTCTGCACGCACACACAGCATTCTCAATAATGGATGGCACTGGAATCAGCAAATTGTAGAGATGGAAGAGGCCACCAAGAGTAATATAGTCCAACCCATTTGCAATGCAGGAGTCACAGCTAAAAAATCCCTGCCTGATGTCCACTCAACCTCTCTTTCAAAATCTCCATTGAAGGAAACCCTCCCATCTTCCAAAGGAGCCCGTTCCACTGTTGAATAGCTCTTACCATCAGGAAGTTCTTCCTAATGTTTAGTTGGAATCTCATTTCTTCCAATTTGAATCCATCAGTTCTGGTCCTCTTCTCTGGAGCATCAGAAAGCAAGCTTGCTCCATCTTCCACCTGATGGCCCTTCAAATATCTGATTTGAAGTTGGTTATGATCTCAGCTCTCAGTCAATGCAGGAAGTTAGTTACGTCTTAGGAAGGAAACCTGGGATTAAAAAAAAAATTACTCTATTTGGCATGTCAACACTTAATTGTCCTACCTTAAGAAGCATCAATAAAGCAGGTCTCGTGTAAATCCAGCAGAGCTGAAACAGATAGAGTACTTAATAGATAACTAATTGGATGATTAAAGAGATGTGGATTACACAGAGTAGTAGAAAAGCAAAGGAACCAGGAAAAGGTTGGAAGGGAAGTCATATGGTACAGATATGTAAAGGTAAAGGTAAAGGTACCCCTGACCATTAGGTCCAGTCATGACCGACTCTGGGGTTGTGCGCTCATCTCACTCTATAGGCCGAGGGAGCCGGCGTTTGTCCTCAGACAGCTTCCGGGTCATGTGGCCAGCATGACAAAGCCGCTTCTGGCGAACCAGAGCAGCACATGGAAACGCCGTTTACCTTCCCACCGGAGCGGTACCTATTTATCTACTTGCACTTTGACGTGCTTTTGAACTGCTAGGTGGGCAGGAGCTGGGACTGAGCAATGGGAGCTCACCCTGTCGTGGGGATTCGAACCACCAACCTTCTGATTGGCAAGTCCTAGGCTCTATGGTTTAACCCACAGCTCCACCCGCATCCCATCTACAGATATGTAGATATGCTGTATTTGGTATGGTTGTAAGTGGGACAGGGGGAGGGGAGGGGGTTAGATATGCTCTCTGTTCCTGTTTTGGAAAAAGAAAAAAAGGCATCAATAAATCTCAACTGCTTTTTAAAAAATTGAATCCCTTGGTAATTAATTTCAGGACAGAAGCAAAAGCTGAATTTTGGTTTGACCCAACATGCCAGCCATGGGTCTGTTTTCTCACCAATTATTTTGTAATTATATTGGGTGAGGGAGAATCACAGAATTGCCAAATCATAGAGTTGGAAGGGACCCGAGAATTATGTGAGCCGACCCCTTGCAGTGCAGCAGAGCCTACCACCTTCTGAGGGAATCTATTCCACTCTTGGCAGAGGTGTACCTGGGGTGTTGGTGAGCTTGGCCCCTACCAAGCGTGCAGCCCCAGGGGGCACTGGGCTGCCAACTCCTGGGTGGCATGTTCTGTAGCCACCCATAGGTAACTGGTGGTGAGGGACGCAGGCTGCTGGAGGGATAGCCAAGAGGGCAGCATCCTGGCTCTTCCCCACTGCTCCTGACTGACCACAAAAGCAAAAAGAAGCTCTTATCAGCTGTTCAGCTTCTGGTCTTCTCTTTCAGTCCTGCTCCCCAGGAAAGCTTTTGATGTGCTGAAGAGAGAACCAGATACTTTCCATTGTGGTTGGATCCCGCAAAGCCCTTTCACGCAGCAAGCTCAGTCCTTCTGTGGTTAAATGGTACAGTATTGCTTCCCTTTTGTGGGGGTGGGGAGAGCAGGAAGGAGGATCTGGCTGATTTGTACCCCTTAAATCACTAACTTTGCAGGTGACAATGGATGGTATCTTCTGGGGTGTTTCAAACAGTCTCTCAGTGTGAAACCTGTTGTGGTTTGCAAGTTTTACTTGTGGGGCTTCGGCTGCTGATTCCTGTGCTGGCTGATTGTTTAAGGGGTTTCTAATGGCGATATTGCTTCTCAAAAGTGAAACGGCTCTAGCAGTAAAGCAGGGCCTCTTTCTTTGCATTGCTTTTCATTTCTTCTGTGTATGGCATACATGTGTGTGTGGCACTACACTGTCACAGCAAGTTTTTTTGTGTGGGGAGGCGGTTGCCAATACAGCTCCTGGCCAAGGGTGTAAGGAACCCTCGGTACGCCCTCTGACTCTTGGACAACTCTTGCTGTCAGAAAGTTGACTCACTGGAGGTTTTTTAAAATAGGGGGCTTTCCTTCCTTAGAAGGTTTTTAACCAGTAGTTGAATGTCAGGGGTTATTGAGCTATGATTCATGAAAATGTTTTGAACAGTTACAGAAATAAAATAAGCCTGGAAGTAAAAGGAGGGTGTGCAGGAAGCAGCAGCTGTTGCAAAGCTGTTGCATTGCAGGGGTTTGACTAGATAACTCTTGGGGACCCCTTCCAACTCTACAGTCCTTTGATTCTATGAGATCTTAGCAGGCAGCACACAGCAACATGCACCCCACCTGTCTGGCAGATCTGCTAAACACACCTGCCTATTATCCAACAGAGAAAGTTGCAGCAAGCACACATAGAGGACAGTCATTTGGACAGATACCTAGATCTGATTTACTAGCATAGAAGCAAACTTTTAGGGACCAAGGTCCCTTTGGGTCCCCCCTAAAATAGTTGAGGGAGCTGCCCCCCCCCAAAAAAGTTGATGGGCATTGCTGTTCAAAAGGTGTATGTGAACAGTATCTTGTGTTTGATTATGCACAGCGGAGCTTACCTCTCCCCTCAATATTCAAGTTGGCACCCCCGTTTAGTAGGGATCTTTTCATGCCAATGTCCATTCAGCTCGCCCCCAAAAAAATTAAAGGGAGAGACCCTTACCATAAAACATTCATAAGCTGGTTTAAAAGAATGAAAAATTAAACAGCCTTTTGCTATAAAGTATGAAATATTTACTGAGATGCTGTTAGCTAATTGCCTGTGTTGTATGACCGGCTAAGTGGCAGGAGCAGACTTTGCGACTGGTATTCAGATCAAAGCCTCCAGTATTTACATGACAGGACAGATGTGCCAAGCTAGATTTCTCTGGTTGGGTGGGGGTCATTTCTTCAAATTAGAGATGTATCATGTTCTCGCACAGTTAGCCCCCTGCTCAGCTCTTCTCAGATATAGATTTAGAGTACTTCAGATTTAGTTCTTTTTGATGCAATGCATAGTTAAACTGTGGAACTCACTCCCACAGGAGGCAGTGGTGGCCGCCAATCTGGATGGCTTGAAAAGAAGATTTTACTACTAGCCACAAGCACTATGTTCTGCAATGCTTCTGAATGCTGGAAACCATGGAAGGTGAGGGTATACTTGCACTAGAGTCCTGCTTATGGGAGTCCCATTGAGATATCTGGTTGGCCACTGTGAGAACAGGATGGGACTAGATGGGCCATTGGTCTAATCCAGCAGGCTCTTCTTATGAGCAGCAGAGGACAGGGAGGAGGAGAAGCCACTGTCAGGAAAGATTGAGGACCCAAAGCTCACCCAGACCCTTCAGAGGGACGCATTTATAGAATGATAGAATTGTAGAGTTGTAACATAAGAATGTGAGAAAATAAGATGAGCCTCCCGGATCAAGCCCATGGACCATCTAGTTCAGCATCCTGTTCTCACAGGGGCCAAAAAGATGCTTATGGGAAACTCAAACACAAGATACCATGCAACTGGTTCGGAAGCATTACTGCCTCCAATTGTGGAGGCAGAGTACATCCATTGTAGCTAGTAGCCATTGATAGCCATTTCCTCCATGAATTTGGAGAATCCTCATTTGAAGCCATCCAAGTTGGCGACCATAAATTTCTCCTGTGAGAGGGAGTTCCATAGTCGTCCGTCCCCCCCCACTTCTATGTATTTATGGTTTAATTCACTCCTTTAAAGAGAGAATTCATTATTTCATAGTGGGAAGACCAATGCACCACGTTCTTACTAGCTTGGGAGAAAAACTTTTGGTGTGAGAAAGATATAGGATGTGTGTAAATATACATATATACATACACATTATATATGTACACATTGGATGAGTGTGCATGTGGATATATACACTAGGTAAGCACACACATATATACACTGTCAGTGTTTGTGCATGTGAGACATTTCTGTACCACATGCACCCTTCACTGAAATTGGCTTGGAAAATCAATTAAAGTACATGATTTGAAACAAATCTTATAGAAATGACATGTCACCAGTAATTTACACTTTAAAAAACTCAGCCACAAAAAATAATAATATGGGAGCTGAAACAAGATTGCTATTCATCAGTGCTGCTACTACCCTTAAAGAAACATAGTTTACTATGGGATATAAAGGCAACATTGAGGTTGTTATAAAGATTAGCCACCTAATTTAAAGAACAAACCAACCAGACTGTACTTCATTTTTTGCCCACAATATACACCCCATGAAACTACTCTTCTCACACCTCGCTTACCTTTCTTGTACATTGTTTGCTTCCTGTTCATTGTGGATTCTTTCTTCCATCTGCAGTTTTGGTGCCTTTCCCCACCCCCCCACCCCTCTTTAAACATCAATCCAGGCAATCCTGCTGGATTTGATTAAATGATGATCCCACTATGCCAAATCAGGGAGTTCCATAGTTTAACTCTGTGCTGTGTGAAGAAGGAATTTCCTTTGACTGTCCTGAATTTTCCAACATTCTTCCTGATGTTGAGTCAGAATCTCCTTTCTTATCATTTTGAATCCATTGGTTCAGGTCCTGCCCTCTGTAGCAGCAGAAAACAAGCTGGCTCCATCTTCCACCTGGCAGCCCTTCAGATATTTGGAGATGGCTCTCATAACACCTTTCAGTCTTCTCTTCTCTAAACATCTTAGCTCCCTCAACCGTTCCACCCAAGACTTGGTTTCCAGACTCTTGTTCATCTTGCTCACCTTCCTCTGCACTCCTTCCAGTGGTGCCCAAAGTGGATAGTACTACACTGGGGGGTGGTAATAGGATTATTGGAGGGGGACTAAAAGGCAACAGGGTGTTGGAGGTGTAAATGTCTCCTAGACTTTTGGAAGCTGCTATCACCAGATCAAGTTAATCAATTAGGTTGAATTAAACTCAATAGTTTTAATTGGATTGTGAATAAATGTGCAACCAATGGCTGCTCTTTTGAATTTTATTGTATTATATTACAGTCCAAACCACTGACTACTACTTTGTATAGGGTGTAGGGTAGGGTTTGCTTGCTTGTTTGTTTGTTTATTTCTTTATTACATTTACCGTATTTTTTGCTCTATAAGACTCACTTTTTCTTTCTTTTTTAAATAAATTTTTATTGGTTTTTCACAGTTTTTATAAACACAAACAATACACAATACAAACAAACAAGCACACGAACAAACATATATAATTTCATATCCCTTTTTTCTTAAACCTTACTTCGCTGACTTCCCCATACCTCCCCTTTCTACCTCCCAATTTCCAAAATTCTTTCAGCAAATCCTAACACTTGGTTTTATCAAATTTTTCCCTTATTCTTTTCTTTTACTTAATCTTTTACAGCTGTAGTCCCCTTCCCCCCCCCCCCGTAAAACCTCGACATTTTAGCACTCATTAATTTTACAATGTTTCTTAAGATAAACTTTAAATTTCTTCCAATCTTCTTCCGCCGTCTCTTTCCCCTGGTCTCGGATTCTGCCAGTCATTTCAGCCAGTCCCATATAGTCTATCACCTTCATCTGCCATTCTTCCAGAGTGGGTAGATCTTGCGTCTTCCAATGCTTTGCGATGAGTACTCTTGCTGCTGTGGTGGCGTACATAAAAAAGGTTCTATCTTTCTTTGATACCAATTGGCCGACGATGCCCAAGAGAAAGGCCTCTGGTTTCTTAGGGAAGGTACATTTAAGTACCTTTTTCATTTCATTATATATCATTTCCCAGAAAGCCTTAATCTTCGGGCACGTCCACCAAAGGTGATAAAAAGTACCTTCAGTTTCTTTACATTTCCAACACTTATTATCAGGCAAATGGTAGATTTTTGCTAGCTTGACTGGGGTCATGTACCACCTATAAATCATTTTCATAATATTTTCCTTTAAGGCATTACATGCCGTAAATTTCAAACCGGTGGTCCACAACTGTTCCCAGTCAGCAAGCATAATGTTGTGACCAATGTCCTGTGCCCACTTAATCATAGCTGATTTAACTGTTTCATCTTGTGTATTCCATTTCAGCAACAAGTTATACATTCTAGACAAATTCTTAGCATTGGGTTCTAACAATTCTGTTTCTAATTTTGATTTCTCCACCTGGAAGCCAATTTTCCTGTCTTGTTTATAAACCTCCATTATTTGGTAATAATGGAGCCAGTCTCGTACTTTGGTCTTCAATTTCTCATGACTCTGTAATTTCAATTTATCACCCTCTTGTTCCAAAATTTCCCAATATTTTGGCCATTTAGTCTCCATATTGGATTTTTTCACAGCTTTAGCCTCCATTGGCAACAGCCATCTTGGAGTTTTATTTTCCAACAAATCTTTATATCTGGTCCAGACATTGTATAATGCTTTCCTAACAATGTGGTTTTTAAAAGCTTTGTGTGCTTTAACCTTATCATACCATAGATATGCATGCCATCCAAATACGTTATTAAAACCTTCCAGGTCCAAGATATCTGTGTTCTCGAGGAGCATCCACTCTTTCATCCAGCAAAAAGCTGCTGATTCATAGTAAAGTTTTAAGTCCGGCAGGGCAAATCCCCCTCTTTCCTTTGCATCCGTTAAAATCTTAAATTTTATTCTGGGTTTTTTGCCCTGCCAGACAAATTTCGAAATGTCCTTCTGCCACCTCTTGAAACAATCCATCTTGTCAAGGATTTGCAATGCTTGAAACAAAAATAACATTCTAGGCAATACATTCATCTTTATAACTGCAATTATAAGACTCACTTTTTCCCTCCTAAAAAGTAAGGGGAAATGTGTGTGCATCTTATGGAGCAAATGCAGGCTGCGCAGCTATCCCAGAAGCCAGAACAGCAAGAGGGATCGCTGTGCAGCAAAAGCAGAGACCCCTCTTGCTGTTCTGGCTTTTGGGATTCAGAATATTTTTTTTTATTTTTTTCCTCCTCCAAAAACTAGGTGTGTCTTATGGTCTGGTGCATCTTATAGAGCAAAAAATACGGTATATCCCACCTTTTCCTCCCAGATGCTCAAGTTGGTGTTCATGGTTCTTCTTCTTTCTGGTTTTACCTTCACAACAACCCTGTGAGGTTGGTTAAGCTGAGAGTGAGTGACTGGCCCAAGGTCACCCAGTGAGCTTTCTGGCTGGCTGTGGATCTGAATCCTAATCTCTCCCAGGTCCTAGGCCAACAGTCTAACCACTAAATCACCACTAGCTGATGGAACCAAAAAAAGTTTGGGAACTACAGTATACATAAGAAGCTGACCCAGGAGTCCCTTTCACCTTCAAAATCTGGGATGTGCTTGGTCAGTTGTGGATTTGTGGCCTAGAGTGATAAGTCTTGCAGGAGAAATGATTTTCTGCTGATGCTACTCAGTATTCATTTTTCTTGGAAACAAGTTCATGTCATGTAGCCCATTCCCACCACTAATATTTGGTGCCATGAAGATCAAAGGAGTCGTCTGTCCCAGAGCCCCATCCTCGCATCGCCTGCCACCTATATCCCCACTGACAGCTGGAAGTGATAAGGATGTCTTGAGTGCAGAACGGGTGGCTGGAGCAATTTGAATATATATTGGAAATTTCCCAAGTTGTTAAAGGCTTCGAAGAAGAGGGTTGTTCGCTTATCTTGTCCACTGCTCCTTATTAAATAAAATGTAATTGTCTGAAGTATTACACATTGCCCAGGGCTTTGGAAGGCTGGTATGTCCAAATAACTAGAAGCAAATGTACCATCAAGCCCTTCTGCGTTTATCTCAAAGGAGATCCACACTGACTGGGGACAAAGGAGGATTCACATGGAATAAGTTCTCAAATATAGGATGGGGGACACCTGGCTTGCCAGTAGTACATGAGATAAGGATCTAGGGGTCTTAGTAGACCACACCTTAACACAAGTCAACAGGGTGAGGCAGCAGCAAAAAAAAAAGTTCATGCACTTCTAGGCTGCATCAATAGAAGTCCATTTAAAGAGTCCAAATCTAGGGAAGTCATAGCACCACTTTATTTTGCCACGGTCAGACCCCACCTGGAGTCCTGTGTCCAGTTCTGGGCACCCCAATTGAAGAACGATATGGACAGGTTGGTATCTGGGTGGCTTCCAGTTTATATAAAAGCATAAAAAAAATAAGCATAAAAAAACTTCCCTATACGGGGCTGCCTTCAGATGTCTTCTAAAGGTTGTATAGTTACTTATTTCCTTGACTTAAAGGGTAAAGGGGACCCCTGACTATTAGGTCCAGTCGTGACCAACTCTGGGGTTGTGGCACTCATCTTGCTTTATTGGCCGAGGGAGCCGGCGTACAGCTTCCAGGTCATGTGGCCAGCATTACTAAGCCGCTTCTGGCAAACCAGAGGAGCGGGGTTGCCTAACTCCATACCTTCCAACATTTCTCCAATGAAAATAGGAACATCCTAAGGAAAAGCAGGACATCCTGGGATCAAATTCAGAAACTGGGACTACTTTTGTGAATCCGGGACAGTCTGAACTAAAGAATGCTTGACAGGTTATCACCCGACCTCTGTTGGAAAACCTTTGTGGCATAATAGAATTATAGAACTATAGAGCTAGAAACAAGGTCATCCAACCCATGAAGCGAAATGAGGCAGCCACACTGAGTAGCAGGAGCCTGAGGTGGTGTCCCCCTCAAGGTCCTGCCCCCCCCCCCGCTAGCAGCACTGGGGGAATGCATGAGTTATTGCAACATGAGATCCTGCCTGCAGCCAGCACTGCTACTGAAGCTTCATGGTTGCCACCATATCACACATAAGGACAGATGGTGAAGCAAAATGGGAGGCACTGCCCCTGGCTAGAACAGACCTCAAGGATTCTTTAGCTCAACCTTCTTGCAATGCAGTTAATGAATCCCTGACAGTTGCCCAGAGTGGCTAGGGCAACTCAGTCAGATGGGCGGGGTATAAGAAATTTGTTGTTGATGATGATGTCGTTGTTACTACTACTACTACTACTACTACTACTACTACTACAGGTGGCCATCTGACCTCTTTTTTTTTATAATGATTTTTATTGGTTTTTCAGTTACATACTCCACATATAAATATTGTTTTACATTTTACATTTATACTTGCTCCTAAGAGCTGACTTCCTTCCTTCTTCTGGTATTTTAATATCATATCTAAATTTTTCCGCATTGTCGTCATCCATTTTATCTATTGCTTTTCTTCTTCCATATTTGCCCATGATATGTCCAAAAACAAACAAATCCTTCTATATATACAATTCTTGTTGTCTGTCTGTATTCATTTACAACCACTATTATTTACATTACTCACATTATACATTTTGCTTCTTATTATTTTTATTATCTGATAATTTTCTTTGTATTTCACATTATGAGGTGTTTTTTTTCATTTCTACTGGTTTCGCTATTTCACCTTATTTTTCCTATATACGCCCTAAATTTTTCCCATTCTTTCTGAAATGTTTCATCGCCCTGTTGTCAAATTTTACCCGTTAATTTAGCTATTTCTGCATATTCTAATAACTTCTGTCATTGTGGAAACAACAACAATTGCCAACAGTAGAAGAATGGCATCTGACCTCTTTTGAACATCCTCCAATATTACCTACATAAATTGTGGTTACACACGCACATACGATTTTTTAAAAAATCTGAGGGTATTGCTGTGCAAATCATTTCAGAATGTGGTGGACTCTCCTTTCTTAGAGGTTTCAAGCAGAAGTTGGGTGGACTCTACCAACTCTACCATTTCTGATGCTCTTATCATTTCTTCTCTTTCTAGAATTTACTGAGCTTGAGAATGTAAAGACTGATGGAGCTCTTTGCTGGCGCTAAAACATCCGTTCCTGCCCACAGATAATTTTCCTGATCTGGCATTGTCCCTCCTTCCTTATGCGATAGATGACACTGAAGACTTCTGAGTGGGAGAGAAATGGATGATCATTTACAAGAGCAGCTTGCTTTGAAATTATAGCTTTGCAAATGACTAGATCTTATTTCACGTTCCATTCTCTCCAGCACCCACAGAAGGTCAATTTCCCCACCTCTTCTGAGGATGGGTCCACATGCTCTCCTTAAAAAGATAAAGGGACCCCTGACCATTAGGTCTAGTTGTGGCCAATTCTGGGGTTGTGGCGCTCATCTCGCTATACTGGCTGAGGGAGCAGGTGTACAGCTTCCAGGTCATGTGGCCAGCATGACTAAGCCACTTCTGTCGAACCAGAACAGGGCAACGCGACTGGTTCTGCCACACTGAGCACCAAGCCTAGGGGACGCTGCAGGGTATTGCAACTATAATATAGTGAATTGAGCAGATTTCATATATACAACCTGAGCATACGATATTTGCAGGGATAGCTGGTGCTTCTTTGGAACAGTGGGGCAGAAGATAGGGAGCCAAGCAATAGGTGGAGCCAGAGTCATGGGTGGGCAGAGTTAACTGACTCTATAGTTTTTCTACCCATCCTCCTCTCTGCTGGAAGGAGCAGGAAGCTGACAGACAGCTCCATCCCCTGGACTACATTCACTGGACGGAGGGCAGAGGGTTGGGCTAGATGACATTTGGGGACCCTTCCAACACCACATTTCTATGACATATATGATTCTATGACTGCTGACCTTTTCACCAACATGACATTCAGTGTGGGGGAGACCTCTGTGACATTGTGAAAGGCCAGCGCCAAAAAGGTGTCGTTGCTGCTCCTCTCACCCGGAGTTCCTTCCAGGCTCAGGGGTGGCTAAGAGCGAGTGCCGAGAGCAATCCCTGGGTGATCTGCCTCTTAATTACAGGGTTAATGCAGGTGTCTCTATCAGAAGAAGTTCCTTAACCTGATAATGAGCAGGAAGCAGCTGTACTTTGGAAAGTAGAATAATTGCAGAGCAGGGATTTCTAATTATAAGGTGTGTGTGTGTCTGTGTGTGTGTGTGTGTGTGCTGCTGAGGAGTTTATTTAGTGCCAGCTTGGAACTTCCTCCAAACAGCAGGCTCAGTTTCTTAAGAGTAGGAGGAGAGGGTGGTGTAGTGGCAGAGAAGATGTCAGGGTAGAGCAGGTCATTTTAGGGGGTGAAGCTTAATTTTTGCTAATTTCAGTGTGGGGTCTTAAAAAATGTTTTTGAGTGTCAGGAGTTCAAATCTGCTATTATTTTTGTGATTAGACAGTATTTAGCTTGGTAAATCTATGTTGGATTAAAAAGCATGTAAACTGTTCTCGGAAGACCACAGAATTTTATTTTTACCTTCTGAAAATGTCAGATAATACTATAAAAAAAATATGCATAAAACATATCCCACTAAGTATACAACATTAGCTTGGACATCAGCTGCCAACTTTCTTCTTGACCTCTGATGTAGCCCTTACATTTCTCATGTGTATACACCCTGCCTGCTGCCTCTGTGACTTGTTTCACACACCTCTCTACAGACGGAGTATGACAGGGCCACTGTGGAATTTGCATGGGCTCATCAATGACTTGCTTTAGTTCCTCTGAAGAAAGTTTACATGTCAATGGAGGTTCCTATACTCAGTGAGACCAGTCTATCCAAGGCTTTTTTAAAGCCAGAACTCAGTTCTGGCCCCCTCAGGTGGACATAATTGCTATTCTAAGAGAACAAGGGAGGCGTTCATGGTGAGTTCCGGCACCTCTTTTTCTACAAAAATATCACTGAGTCTATTAGCTCCAATTGGGATGAAGCACTAGGGTTAATGAAAGCTGTTTTCCTCAGACGTACAGAAAGATTTCCCAGAGTGTCATCATCTCTGACCCTCAAGTCAACAAGCTTTTGGACACCAGCTCTCCTCACTGCCATCTGAGCACAAGAGTGTCTGGATTATCATCTTCCTGACTACATACCATGCTGAACGTTGGATGGGTGGCAAAACAGCATCCACTATAACCTTTTTTTTGCAGCCTAACTCGCTGCAGCTGAAACAAAATGTGGCGCGGACCTTCCACCCAAGAGTGTTTTATATTGATGTTGAACCAGCAGGGGCAGCACACACAAACATTTATGTTCCTCTATCGGTCTTAAGTTGTGGAGGGTTTTGCCTCCAAGGCCATGTTTTGAAACCCGTATGTGTCAAAGCTTGCTTGCTGTTGTTAATCACCTTGAATGGCCCACTGGACCAATTTCAAGAATAGCCAGATCCATGTGAAGTTTTCCTGTCCTTATGGCCTGTGTGATCTGATACCTGTACTCTTGATGAACAGACAGATCCTTTATGGCATTGCCACCTAAGAGGCTTTCCAATTGAGAGTTTCATGAATGAGGTATGAATTTCAAGTTCTGTAGCAGTGACTAGCACCTTGCCTATGTTACCTGTCCACTTGCAGTTAGACAAGGTCTTCCCATGAAGTGGTGTGATCAGGTGTTGCAGGGATAACTTGTTGGTGTGGAGGGTACAAACCAACCAGCTTACAACCAATGCATGGTACCACCCTCCTAGTCGGTGTGAACCTTTGTAGAATCACCTCCAATGACCTGTAGCCTCTATCAATGCCCTTCTGTTGAGGCAGCCTAGAATAGCATTAGCCTCCCCCCCCCCCTTGTCACATCCTGTCATTGCTCATAGGAGTGTGACAGAATACCTGGTGGAAACTGGACCCACTGGGACAGCAAAGGAAAAACCCATTAAAGGGATTCCTTCTGCAATCAGCCAAGACCTATAAAGTGCCCTTGGCCAGAGGGCTAACAGACTCATAAAGGCATCTCTGGAGCTGAAGGAAGCCATCCAAACAAAGCCTGGGGCCAAGTCCACAATGCAGCCAGGATGTTGGAGAATGTGTCAAGGAAGGCTGCTTTCAACTCTGATGTGAATTGCTCTTGGGGTCCCTTCCAACTCTGTAATTCGAAGATTCACTGGAGGTTTTAAAGCAGAGGTCAGGTGCCCCCCTGTCAGAGATTCTTTACCTGTGGTTCCTGCATTGCAGGGGGTTGAACTAGATGACCTTCTGTGGTCCTTTCCAACTCTGCAATTCTAGTATCCTCTGATATTTAAGACTGCCAAATAATAATAATAAATCCCTGGGTGCACACCAGAAGGAAATGTGTTGTGCATGCCTAGGTGCAAAATGAGGATTCTCTGGGGAATGGTAGTTTAAAATGGAGGTGGAGCATTTCATAATCGTATTTTCGTTCTATCAGCTGGTTGGAAGCAACATGAGACTTGAACGCTTCCTAAGAAGGCATCCTCTACCTGCTTGGTTATTAAAAGTCTTTGTTCGTGAGACCTTTTGCCCCCGTCTTTCTTATCCCTGCACTTCTGGGTGCTTTTAAAAGAAGGGGAAGGAAAATTGTTACTTTACTCTTGATGCTTTTGTTCCCCTTCGGACTCCTGTTGAGTGGAGTGCTTTGTACTTTGGAGTGAAACTGCTTCTGTGGAGAGACCTTTCCAATGTCAGCCTCTTCCTCCTCAACAAAGGAGGAAAAACAGCAAAGGCCTTCAGCTGAATTTCTGCCCTTTCCATCACACCGCAGGCCCTGGCAATGTTTAGAAGTGTGACTGTGGGAACAGAGGAAGACTAATTTAGCCAGAGACTCAACTCCCTGGACACCCCATGCAGAGAGAGATGGTTGCACAGAAGATTCCTGTCTGTCTTGTGGAAAGAGCTCAAAACGCCTCTATCAAAGCCAAGGAGAATCCCTGGGATTTTCTAAAGCAAACCTCCCCACGAGCAAAGAGACTCTCGAACATCTAAAAGATTAACTGTGTTGGGGGTTCCACTGTTGAATCCATTAGCCCAGACAGGATGCAGAGTTAGAACCACAGAATTGTATAGGTGAAAGCTACCCCAACGGTCATCTAGTCCAACCCCATACAAACCACGAATCAAAGCAAAAGAATCCCAGACAGATGGTCACCTGACCTCTGTTGGAAAACCTCCAATGAATCCTAGAATCATAGAGTTGCAAGGGATCCCCAGCCCCACACAATACAGGAACCATAGCTAGAGAGCCCATGGTAGAAGGCCAGCCAATGCCTGTTTAAAAACTTCCAATGAATCACAGTGAATCACCCCCTATACCTTCCCATTCCAAAAGGACACCAGGCACATCTCAAACCAAGACCACCAGGGAGATTGAGATACCACTGACCAAGGAGATGGCGAACAGCACTGAGACCACAGCATCCCCCCATGACAAGCTGCCAACCAAAGACAACCAACCAAACCCTAGGCCACGCCCAACTTCTCTCACCACCAAGGAAATATAACAAGCGAACAGAAAGAGAACCCACACAAGTGATGCTGACACAAAACCCCACACATACACTAAGTAGAAAAATAGAGGCATTACCAACCCAACCCAACCCACTCTACCCCACCCCCCTCATCATTCCCCACCCCACCCTCTTTTCTTCCCAACCTAGTACTGCATGCAACACTAATGTCTTGCAACAAATGAAATGCACATATTTTTGTAAACTAAGAATTAAAAAAATAAAAATAAAAAAGAATGAATCACCCCCCAGCAAACCAGGAATCACAGCTGAATAATCATGGAATTGTAGAGTTGGTAGGGACTTTGTTGGTCATCTAGTCCAGCCCCCTGCAGTTCGTGAATCACAGCTAATTCCATCTGGGCTTTTGGTGGGGAAACAAGCAATGCTTCCTGGGATTCCCAGCCTGGCAAGTGAAAGCACAGCAGCCGAGGAGAAATTAGGTCATATCCCTCAACAGTTTGAGTAAATGGGACAGTATGTACGTTCTGTTTACCTCCCTACAGGGCGAATGCAGCGAGCGTGCCATAAATCATTTCGGCAGCTGCTGGGTGAATCTCCTGCTGTAGTGTGAGGAAAATGCAGACATGCTAAACCTGTCCTAATTACAGTTTCCCTTACTATCATAACCCCTCACAGATCTGCCTCTCCTTTCAGACATATTTCTCTCAAATCACACATGGTCTTCAATGTCACCAGCTTCCTCTTCCTTTCCCTGGTGTCATTTGCGGTCTGTTGCCAGCTGGTGCGAGGCTACGCACGCTGCAAAGTCCCCAGCCTCAAACAAAGCCCACTTAGGATGCTACAGCAAATGCATCCCCCGGGACAATGTGGATTAAAGGAAGCCAATTATATTTTTAGCTAATGGGCAACTTAAGAGACTCTTTCGAGAGACCATGAGATCCCAGCGGTTGATATTCTATCTCAAGCCACTTGTCAGCTAGAACCCAAGAATCACGGATTATGCGACCACATAGTTGGAAGGGACACCAAGGGTCTTCTAGTCCAACCCCCTGCAATGCGTGAATTACTGCTGAATAATCTGTAACAGACGGCTCCATCTGACCTCCACTTAAAAACTGCCAATGCAAGACAGTCCATCACCTTCAGAGGGAGTCTGGCCCACTGTGGAGCGCTCTTATGATCAGGAAGTTCTTCCTAATGTTTAGTCAAAACCTACTTCCTTGTCCTTCAAATCATTTTGGGACCCCATTTTCTGGAGCAGCAGAAAGCCAGCTTGCTCCATACTTCATGTGACAACACTTTGGAAGTCCTTTTTTGGTCCCTGTGTGACATTTCCCTGCTATATTCCCAGAAACTGAAAAGAAGAAAGCTGTCCTTTGAAGCTGTCCATTGAAAGATAGTGGACTCCCCTTCATTTGATATTTTTATACAGAGGTTGCAGGGGCATCTGTTGGGGGTTCTGAGGGTAAGAGTTCTTTGAAATTGGGATGGATGACCTAGGGAGACAGTGGACCTTCCTTCACTGAAGGTGTTTATACAGTATTCTTGTGCTCTTGTGTCCGAATTCAGCTTGTGGGCTTCTGACAGATATCTGGCTGGCCACTCTGAGAAGAGGATGCTGGACCAGATGGGCCAAGGCCTGACCCAGCAGCTCTCTTCTGAAATTTCCATGCCCAGAGGCAGTTTATTTAGATTGCTAAATTCTTAGGGATATTTGGCCACTGTGAGAACAGGATACTGGACTAGATGGGCCACTGGCCTGATCCAGCAGGGCTCTAATTATGTTCTTATGCCAAGCTCCTCCTGTGTATTGAATTCCTTATCCCAGATTTCTCCACTACCAAAAGTTTCACCTTGCAGAGAGAGAGAGAGAACACACCCTTATGTACTGAGCACATGATCATCCTGCCCATGGATGAATGTTTACTGTTCACCCAGTCACACCTTAAACTCGCCACACCTCCTCCCACAACAAACATTCCAGGCATGTTTCTGCTTCTGCCCCCTCTGCTGCTCCTCCCTGGCC